TTACACATCTGAAAATAAAAAGTACAGCATTGTAAAAGAAGTGCTTATAAGGCGATAAAACTGATTTCCAAAAGCCATAAATAAAAGTCATGCACAATACACATGCGTACATTATTTTAAGGGCTGGAATCTACGCAGGCCTACAGAATCAACTCATATCCCATGCTTCTAAATCTAAATGTTCTCCAGTAACCTGTGGTTTTGAAAGAAAGTTAGAGACCTTCAGCTCTGCAACTCCTTTTGCGATCCTAAATAAAAGTTGCCACTGGAAAGTATTTGTAACAGGACAGAGAAAAGATGTTTGGAGGAAAAGAATAGAGTTAGAATTATCAGTGGAACACAGTGGAATGAGAAGAACCTACACCTGAGCAAACACCTGAGTCTGAAATTACTTTTAAAATATATAAATGTTATCAGTCGGTTAATAATATTTTATATTAGATTTGTAATCCAAATGTCTCAAGGCATAATCAAATGCATGAACTGAATGATAAATACAAATAATGATACATTTACTTTTCAGATCATTTAACACAAGTGTTATTTTTATCTTGAGAAAGTCCTTCTAGTTTCAAAGAATTATTGACTATTCTTGATATATTTATTCTGAGTACTTTCCACCCATATCTTTTTCAAAGTTTTAATGTTAAAGAAGATACTATTTTTCTATTATTTTTTGCTGTTGTTTTGCCAAATGTAACTGTCACTTTTTATTGAAACATCAGAATCAGACATTTAATTCTCACAGTTTTGATGCTTAATGAAAAGTGAAAGTTAAACACAGCATGGCGGCATTCAAATGCATGGTGAAGCCATAGCATCCCGCAACTTAGCCCTTAAGAGAATGTGCAAACACCAAGAAAAAAAAATTATATAAAGAAGTAAAGCTAACATATTTAGAGGTGAGACTGACAAATTATCACAAATCACTAAAGAAAAGTTACAAACAAAACAGTGCAGACTTGGGGAGAAGAGGAGCAAGGAAATCACTATCTTGCATATCAAATCTATAAAATGGGGAATATCCACATTTGAGACTCAGACTGAAATATGTGAATTTAGTTAACTCTTGGGATTACTACTAAGGTAATAATGCTCAAGGAAAAGTCAATTAAGGAAGTAGAATCTTTATTCTATGTGACTCTTTTAAACTTCTTTACATAAATATCAGTTCATTGTTGAGGGAATTTTGATAGTTTTGTCCCAAAAGTGAAAGTATATTAAAAACAAGAGGGGGCTTATTTTTATCCCTATGCTGGGGAAGGAAAATATTTTCTGGTTTCAACTTTCTAGAAAATCCTCATCCCATTTAATTCCCATTATATAATCTTAAAAGAGAAAAGTCCATTTTTACATGAAATACTCTGCTGAAAGGATTTTTTTGTAAATAATAAGAATATTATTTTCACCTTTTTGGATTTCTTAAAATCCTTTTGCATCTCTCTGTACTACTGCACAAAAAAATAAATCTCCATTGCATATTTTGAAACAATGTCAGATCTATATTTATGGCTATGAATTTCGGTTTGTTTGTTTATGTAGAATTTGTCAGTTTTTAGAGTTCCTAAGTAGATTGAGAACCTTAGTAATAAAGGTCTTTCACACTTTTTTTCACTTCTGGATAGGAGATTTATCTCTAAATTGGTGAAGTCTATACATATTTTCAGAATTCTCAACACACATAATTATGCAAAGTGTATGAAGAAGCAAAACAGAGTCACGAGGAAGTGTTATAAGCCTAGGCTTAGAAAACCATTTCTGACAGCATACTCTACAACAATACTTAATTGGGTATATGAATCTTATTAGAAATGTTTCCAAGTTTTTATTACCCTAATATGTGCCTCAAAAAGATCTCTACGTGTTTAGATATAGGCTGATTATACAGATGGTGACAGAATTACTTCAGAACCACTCACATTCCAGTTTCAGAAAAACTAAGCATTTGCCTCAGTAAGGCAAAAAGTAGCCTTTCAGAAAACTTTATATCTCTATGTATCTAGATGTAGACTTGTGATTCAAGGCTATAATTCTGTCATTTCTTCTCATGTCTACCAGAAGTTTAAGGCAGTATCAAATGCATGTCTAAGTCTACATGATATTACAATAAATTTAGTCATCCAGTAAATTCATTACCTTCTTCCCTCCACAAATAACATGTAATAAAGTCATTTTATGGTAAACATTATTCCCAGTGAAATTTAAAATACAAATTATGGCTAGTTCACAATCCACAAGCCTTGCATTTTTTTTTCAAAGATTTTATTTATTTATTGGATAGAGATCACATGTAGGCAGAGAGGCAGGAGGAGAGAGAAGGGGGGAAGCAGGCTCCCTGCCTAGCAGAGAGCCCGATGCTGGGCTTGATCCCAGGACCCTGAGATCATGACCTGAGCTGAAGGCAGAGGCTTAACCTACTGAGCCACCCAGGCACCTCCAGGCCTTGCATTTTTAAATAAACATATATCCTTCTTATAGACATACATTTTATTATATGATTTCTATTAAAAGTAATCAAATGAAGGCAGAATTTTTTAAAATGTGCTTGCATTCATACATAGTTCTGAGAAATATTTTAATAAGGTCCTCAGAATCATGTAGACATAAGCCCAATGTCAAAATTAGTAAAATATCTGAATCTGTTGTTTTAATATCATCATACCCAAGTAAGTTCTAGTATCATAGCTTAATAAAAGTACTACATTTAGATTAGGTCTCAGAATATAAAAGCTTCACCTTGTCATTTTTTTTAAAGATTTTATTTATTCATTTATTTATTTATATGACAGAGAGAGACACAGCGAGAGAGGAAACACAAGCAGGGGGAGTAGGAGAGAGAGAAGCAATCCTCCCGCGGAGCAGGGAGTCGGATATGGGACTTGATCCCAGGACCCTGGGATCACGACCTGAGCCGAAGGCAGATATTTAATGACTGAGTCACCCAGGCATCCCTATTCTGTCATTTTTATGTATAGCATATTTTAAAGCAATTTGTGATTTAGAACATGAATATATATTGAATATATGATGTGATTTAAAGCAAAGCATAAATTCTCAAAATGCTCAGTGGAATCTATAAATACAAGTTGGTATATGTTACAAAGTACTTAATTAAACTTACTAAAGTTCCCCTTGCTACACAAAAGTAATGTTCCTATGAAACCCTTCTTTCTGAAAGTTTGCCTTGTACCACTTCATTTTTAAGACCTACAAGAGTATAATAACAGCTTTTTTTTTTTTTTTATAAAAGCAAAATCCTCTCTGGATTTCTTTTGGTTAATGAAAATAGGTACTAATGCAGGTCTTTCATAAAAGTGAAGTTGCATGGGGCTCCTGGGTGGATCAGTGGGTTAAGCGACCAACTCGATTTTAGCTCAGGTCATGATCTCAGGGGCATGGGATTGAGCCCAGCATTGCACTCCATGCTCAGAAGGGAGTTTGCTGGAGATTCCCTCTCTCTCTCGCCCACAGCACCTCCCCCGACTTGCACACATACATGCGTGCCCTCTCTTTCTTTCTCAAATAAATAAATCTTTAAAAAGAACCAAAGTGAAGTGGCACAACGTGAATTTTCAGAAAGCAGGAGATACCTGTGTATGCACAACTACAGACTGCTATATGACAACAATGATTTAAAAAATCAAAGAGTATTTCAAAAATCATTCTGCCATTAAGAATAGTTCTGTGCTCGGGGCGCCTGGGTGGCTCAGTGGGTTAAGACTCTGCCTTCGGCTCAGGTCATGGTCTTAGGGTCCTGGGATCGAGCCCCACATCGGGCTCTCTGCTCAGCGGAGAGCCTGCTTCCCTTCCTCTCTTTCTCTGCCTACTTGTGATCTCTGTCTGTCAAATAACTAAAATAAAAATCTAAAAAAAAAAGAATAGTTCTGTGCTCTGAAACAATAGTACATCTAATCATCTTTGTTGATTTATCAAAGCATTTCTTCTACATGCATATATTTGATTCAGTAATAGGAAAATTGGTTTAAAAATCCCATTTAAAGCACAATGTGAAGAAAACTCATTTTCATGCATTTGTATTTAAGGCATCACTACAGCTATTGAAAGTAGGAGTGAAATGACATAAAATAGTCCATGATGAAATATACATGCTTTAAAGCTTTTGTGCAAGTCAGAGTCTTTCTAGTACAACATTTGAGATTACTTTTCATTAAATTTTTATCTTTTAAAACTGGGACTTTGTGTAGCTGATGAAAGTCTAACAAATTCCTATCATCCTCATGATAACTTTATCTTCCTTCACAATATTAATGGAAAGGATAGATTCCTAAGCAACTTCTTTAGCACAAACGATGAAGGTTCAAAGAGATGCAAGGAGAGAACAAAATACAAAAGAAGGATAAAACAGTCTGAACGCACAAGTCATAAAGAGTAAGTCATAAGTGCCAAAATCAGTGATTGATGTCATCTGTGTTGGTGTGTGAAGATAGTAAGTACACTGTGGCTCCATGGGCATTGAAGACGTAGCACTGCAAACACCAATGAGCCTATGAACTGGAAATCAGGCTTAACATACGTTAGAGCCACAAGCAATGTTCTAGTTGGTCTTTTTAATCATAGCCTCTCATGAAATTTGTTGACTATGATTAACATGAAAACATTAGCTCTTTTCCACAAACAGAAACTGGTGACCATTATTCATTTTAACTTTAAAAATTCATAATTCAAAGCATTATATTACATTCTCAGGTTGTGGGGTGAAGACGATGGAGTTGCATCTGAGTGTGTAACTGCTTATTAAATAAAAGTTTCCTCTGCATTCTTTCATGAGCATTTCAGGAAATTTAAATTCTTTGTTAAAATTTCTACAATTTGATACTTGAAAATCAGACTATATATGTATAAAAAGAAATAACTCTACTACAACAATCTGTATTACAATAGATCATTTTCAAATAAAATATGTTTTAAAGAATTTGGAAGCACTTTGAAATTTCAGATATCTATAATAAACATAAAGAGTACAATAAAGAAACATTTACCATTTTTATCCATGGAATTTGGTTCTGATTGTTTCTTGCCAATATCAGCAAAGGAACGAACTATGGGAATTCTATTGGTGAGTTTTTTCTGATTCTGGTGATGATGCTGTTTCATCAGTGCCTCATGAACCCTGTGGCGTACATCCTCATTGAGCTGACCTGAGCTCACTTGTTGGTCAAGGACCATATCTGAAGAAGGAAGACAAAAAAAGATTAGCACGGTAGATTAACACAGTATGCAAGCAGCAAACCACTGAGTCCAAATATACATGTTCCAGATAACATGATTCATCTTAAAATAGGATGAATTCCTTTAAAAATCTCAGAAAGTTGTGACTTTTTGTTAAAACGTTGCACAAAAAAGATGGGAAAATTTTTACTATAAATCATTCAACTTTAAATATGTAATAACTTCATGAAGTATTATTTTTAAAATGGACATAGTTGCATTGTGAACAAGTGCTTTATATTCTCTATTATTTACACTGATGGGAGAAAACAGTGGCAGGGGTAATATTAATATAATTAGTATGTTTAAAATTGTAAAGTGGCTTATGTTTTTATGTTTTATGTTATGGTTTTTTCCCTTTTTCTAGTAGAAAATGATTTCCGTGTTTTCTCTTTAAGTGAACAAAAGTCCATCTGTAAAAATCTGATGCAGGGAGACTTAGGCAGCTATCTAGTTGGTTGCATTTGGAGAGTAAACAACTCTTACACTCATATAAGTCAGCCCCCTCAAAACATCCTTGAAAATGTATTTAAAGAGTTCTCCTAGAACTATAAAACGAAGAACAAAGGTGAGATTTCAGAGGGCTGTAATTAAGCAGATTGATATTTAACATATGCAGTGTCAGAAATGCCTATAAAATAAATAGGTGAGTAAAGGAATTTTAAGTTTCTTGGTAATACAAAACCACTTCAATAAACGTCATTGTAGGAAGAAGGAGGGAAGATGGTGAAGTAGGAGGATCCTGAGCTTACCTTGTTGCACAGATTCATTGTAACAATAGCGACATTTACACAACTAACTCTGAAAATGACCTGAAGACTGGCAGAACAGATCTTCCACAGCTAGGCATAGAGAGAAGGCCACATACAAAAGGGTAAGCAAGATGTGGTTGGGAACCAAACCCCTGGCAGTATGAATCCCAGATAGGAGGGACATCATAAACATAGAAAGGCAAGAGGATCAGACCCCACACCTGGCACTCCTAGAACTGAGGAACCACATTGCAAGGACTAGTCCCCTTAACCTCTCCCTTTAAAAACCAGCAGGCCTTAACTCCAGGACCTTTAAAATTAGCAGGCTTAACTCCAGAGGAGCCTGAGGGCAAGAGGAAACTTGAGTTCCCACTCCTAAAAAGAGAGCATTCTAAATAATTCAGCTGAAGACACAGCAGTTTGAAAAGTGCCTTAGATATAGGTGAAGGAAACTTATTGACTAATCTTAGAAAGTATACCAGAAAGGCAGGAGATTTCTCTGAGAGCAAAAGCACTAGCAGGTGACATTCCTCTTCCCCTCCTCCAGCCTAGGCAGCAGGACATTGGTGGGAGCCAATTCTACACTATCTACCCTGATGGCACTCTGTGCCTCACCTGAGCATTCTTATGTGGATCTACCCCATCCAACCCTCTTGTCTCTGCAGGCATCCCTTCAAAGCAACTCCTGACTAGATCTGACTCCAGAAACAATGACAACAAAAACAAAAATAAACACATGGGACTGTATCAACCTAAAAAGCTTCTGCACAGCAAAGGAAATCACCAACAAAATAAAGACAACCTCCCAAATGGTAGAAGATATTTGCAAATCATATATCTGGTAAGGGGCCAATACCCAAAATACATAAAGAACTCGTACAAGTCAACACCAAAATAAATAAATGAACAACCTGATTACACAGAACCTGAAGAAACATTTTTTTAAAAAAGAATACAGGTGGCCAATAGGCACAGGGAAAAATGTTCAGCATCACTAATCATCAAGAGATGTAAATCAAAACTACAATGAGATATCTCCTTATGCCTGTCAGAAAGGCTAGTATCAAAAAAGACAAGAAAGAACAAGTGTTAGAGAGAATGTGGAGGAAGGGGAACCCTTGCTCCCACTGTTGGTGGGATTATAAATTGGTGCAACCACTGTGGAAAACAGTATGGAGGTTCCTCAAAAAATTAAAATAAAATTACTATATGATCCAGTAAGTCCACTAATGGGTATTAACCCAAAGAAAATGTAAAAATTAGTTTAAAAAGACAAATGACAAATGCTGGGATGCCTGCGTGGCTCAGCTGGTTAAGCGTCTACCTTCAGCTCAGGTCATGATCCCAGGGTACTGGGTTTGAGTCCCACATTGGGCTCCTTGCTCAGCAGGGAGCCTTCTTCTCCCTCCTGCCTGTGTGCTCACTCTCTCTCTCTGACAAATAAATAAATAAAATCTTAAAAAAAAAAGATAAATGCTTCCCCATGCTTATTGCAACATAATTTACAACCAGCAAGATATGGAAGCCACCCAAGTATCCATTGATAGATGAATGGATAAAGGTGTGGTATATATGTAAAATATATACCACATTTTATATATATATATATATACACACAAATATATATATATAAAAGACATTATATATACCACATTATATATATATACATATATATATATATATGAGAATATATATTATATATATAGGAATACTAGCAATAAAAAAGAGGGAAGGCTTGACATTTGTGATAACATTGATGGACCTAAAGGATATTATGCCAAGTGAAGTAAGTCAGACAAAGACAAATACCATATGATTTCTCTTACATATGATATCTAAATAACAAAAGAAATGAACAAACAAACAAATAGACCCTTAAATGTAGAGAAAAAACTGCTGGTTGCCAGCACAGAGGTAGGTAGAGAGATGAATGAAATAGATAAAGGAAATTAAGAGGTATAAACTTCCACTTATAAAGTAAATAAGTCATGGAGATGAAAGGTACAATGTGGGGAATAGAGTCAGTAATATTGTAATAACATTGTATGGGAACAGATTGTGACTATACTCATTAGGGTGAACACTGAGTAATGTATAGAATTGCTGAATCAATAAGTTGTACACCTGAAACTAATATATACATATAGTTGTATGCCAACTGTACTTCAATAAAAATTTTTTATACTTCAATAATAATTTTTAAATTTTTTAAATTTAATAAGCAGCCAAGTCTGATTTTAGAAAAATAATCAAAGTTGCAAAATAACTTATACTGTATAATTCCATTTATGGCACATAAGCACATACAGAGAAAGGACACTGTAATGATACATTCCAAATTGTGTAAGAATGGGTAGGGGTAGGAGTAAAGAGAAACTTTAAAGTTTTACCTTAGAATTAGATTGAACCATATAAAACTACCATTTTTGAAAGTCAAAAATGGTTTTCAGCAGTTTCATAACATTTTAATTTTTTGCATAAGGAGATTTGTGTAATAAAAAATATTAAAGAACACTAACCAATCACAAAACTATCTCCTTTTTCAAAATGAGGGGATTTGGAAGAAAGAAATTAATGAAACAGTTTTAGGGCAGTGAAAATACTCATGATATCATAATATTGGATACATGTCATTATACTGTTGTCCAAACCCAAAGAAACTATATAACACTCAGAGTGAATCCTGATGTTAACCATGAACATTATGTGATAGTGATGTGTCAATGTAAGTTCATCAGTTGTAACCAACATAACATTCTGGTGGGAGCTGTTGATAATGAGGGAGGCTATGCATGTGCAGGATCAAGGGTTTATCAGAAATCTCTGTATCTTCCCCTCAACTTTTCTGTGAACCTGAAGCTGCTCTAAAATCTAAATTCATAATTTAAAAACAACCTCAGTACAATTAATCTGTCCTAAAATGATCAAATATTAACTCTACTTAATTTTTTTGAAGCTCTAACTCCTTATACAAACAAGCATATCAAAGTGAATTGCCTTCCACAGTCCTACTTAGTGCGACAAAAAATTGAATATTAGCAGAATTTTCCCATACAAACAATGTTTACTTCAGTGTAAAAGGGAAGGACTAGGGAAACAGACTTGGGTCAATGTACCACATTCTAGCTGTGCGATCTTGTAAAGCTGGATAACCTGAGGGTTCTTATTTATAAAATGGAGATAATATCTATTTCATATGCTGTAGGCCTAAAGACATAAAGCACCTAATGGACAGATTAGAATATTGAAACCTTGAGTAAATATTTCCCAGTACAAGATTTCCTTTGCAATTTCCATTAAGTAGGTTATGGGTCCCTGGTTTTGATTTTGTGGTGGTTTTAATGCATTCATATTTATTTGTAATCGTATATCAAGTGGAGGCAAAGTAGAGTATATCAATAATGGAAACCTCAGAAGAGGTAGTTCAGGATGGTGGTGTAGGAAGATATGTATTCACTTCTTTCCATGGACAAAACAAATATACAGCTACATATGGGGGGAAAAAAATGGCCCCTAAAAGGCCCTGAGAACTAGCTGAACACCTGATCCACAACAAAGGATAAAAGGACCACATAAAGACTGGTAAGAGAGGCAGAGACATGCTCTCACCAAAAACCCCGCCCTCAGAGGGGCAACCCACAATCAGGAGGGAGCTCAAAAAAATATGTGTGTGTGTATATAAGTATATATATACACACACATATGTATAAAACATTATTAAAAATTTAGATATAGATCACTTATCACTAAGGAAAAGAAGTATGTACCCCACACAAGATATCCCTAGGTCCTGCACCAGAGAAAGAAGTTCCAAAATGCCCAGCTTTGAAAATCAGTGGGGATTATGTTCAGGGGAAACACAGGGCATAGGGAATGAAGGTTCTGCTCTTAAAGGACTTATGTGTAGAACAACACTCTATGGGACCCAGAATAAAAAACACATTTTGAAAAGAGCCTAGATTATAGGTGAAGGATATTTACTTGCTAAACTTAAAGCTATCAGAGAAGCAGAAGTCTTTGGGGACTCTCTCCAGAGATGGTATGCTGGCAGATATCACTGTTAGTGACTCCTTCTAGCTTACTGACACCAACAGTGGTAGATGCCATTTTTGGGACAAAGAGGCTCATTCCTGTCACTCTTAGTCAACTTAATATTGGAAGTTCTAGCCATAACAATTAGGCAAGAAAAAGAAATAAAACACATTCAA